AAGGGATCTGAGAAGTAGTTCTTTACATCTGTTTCCACAGAGCATTCTCAAATAAGTAGTCATTGCACTGCTCTGCAAAAGTTCCGAATCGAACCTTCATCTCATGGCGTGACGCCCATAAAAAGCACGATGATAAAATGTTTAAGAATATTTAATAAATGTGTCCATGAATCGATTAATTGTTGCACTGGTATGAAGCATGCCCTTCTCTAACCCGCAGCCAATGCATAGTAGCCATCACAACAATGCTCCCACTGACTCCTTTCACTGCCCCTTTTGTACAGTGGTAATTGGCCATGCGGTCACACTGCCTGCGCCTAAATGATTATGTTCTTACAGTACGGGCGTCCAATCAGCATCTACAGATATAAGCCAGGAGGAAATGCAGAGCGGCTCCTTCACGAGCACAAGGAAGGGATGCTAAGGAGAGACACACGAGGAAAGGTGCGGAAGGGCTTTCCCTTCATCTGCTCCTGCCGTCGTCGGATTTTCACGGAGAGATGCCACCACGCCGCGGTTTGCCGTATAACGGTTTGGTACGCTTTGCTGGGGGGGGGGGGGGGTTTAAAAAATATATTTTGAGAGTTCACTATTCTGACGGATGAGATGTCGAACTCGCAGAGGAAATATGCCACAGAATCGTGATTGCATTCCGGGCGATTGCAAAATAGCCCGTGACCAAACAACAACGGAAGATAATTAAGCAGGCGTTGAGCGTGGCGAATGCTCCGACCGATGGACACCGAGCACAAGGTTTGTTTAATAAATGCTGCGCGACTGGTACCGCAGTGTTGTTTAGCAGAGGGGATTGCTGCCAATTCATTGTTGCACACTTATGTCCATGCCCCCCCCCCCCACCCCCGCGTCTGTACTCCCTGCCTTTGCCAAGCCAGACTTACCAGCATCGTGAGGTATGATAAACTAATAGCCATGATACCCGCACGGTGTGCAGAGACCCTCTGCCAGCAGTGAATGTGTTTTTATTTTTGTTCCGATTGCTTTACAGCGCTTCCTTCGCGGTACTAAAATACTGTGAAATCGCAAAAGGGCCGTGCACAAGCTTGTATATATAGTTTGATATACACGACAATAGGCTTCCGTTTGGCTCTACAATTTAGTAACAACATTTGTTTAAGCAAACCCGGGGCTGGTTATGACCTTCCTGGTCTCATCAAGTGTCACAGGCGTGTTAAACAAACGCCGAGGCCAATTCGCTTGTCGACAAAACTAATATTTTACCTTTATGTTAAGAGACAAATGAACATCTCTTTTCCTTACGTGTGGCATGGATAATGCCATTTCGTCATCCAATGGCGGAGCCAGGATTTTCAGGTAGGGGGGGCAACCCCTCCAGCAATGACAAATGATAGAGGAGTTGTTAGTAAGTAAGGAGTTGTTAGTAAGTAAGGAGTTGTTAGTAAGGAGTTGCCCCTTGGTTTTTGTTCAACGCGTGTGCGGCGATGGTGCAGACATCGATCGAGGCGTCGAATTCGAACCGCGTTGTGTGATTGGCATCACGCTCGCTGAAGGTGTCGATGCCTTCAGGAAAGTCGACTGCGCACTATTCTGTGAGTCACTTATAACTGCTTTGCCGTTACCTATTGCCAATTATGGACTCAGACGATTGTCCTATCATCTCATAGAGTCCCTGGCACATAATAATAATAATATGCTACACAGTGGCAGTGGGGGTCGCAAAATTCCGATGTATTACTAATAAACCCCAATGATCCGATCGAAATTATGGATTTCGATCGGATCATTGGGGGGGGGGGGGGGGGCACGTGCCACCCCCCACTGTCTCCGCCAGTGTCTCCATGGCGTGGGATGATATATGTCCCTAATGCACAGCAGCAGCTTCTATAAGAGCAGTCATTAGCCGGGCTGCCAATGACAAATGTGGTTTTATCAGAACAGAAAGATGACGGCGCAGCCTGCGTTGTGTTCTCTGTAACCCCTTTGTGAGACCACCCACGCAACTGCGCAGAAGAGACTGAAGTACGTGACTGAAATAATGTTGAGGTCATGGGAGAAAGCCTGTTTCACACACACACAGAAAAAGAAGTGTTAGTCTTCCCCGGCCTGCACAATCACACAAAAATCCCCCATATTGTCTTAACAGATTGTTGGGGCAAATGTTATTTTCCGAGTTATACCTATGAAGGTCCAGAAGGGCACACGAGGTTGGTGGGTGGCCAGCAACCACGCCCGGCCGCCTTTGTCTCCCCAGTGGCGATGTCTACACATCGCACCAGGAACACATTTGAGGCTGAGTCGACCTAGTGGAGGCCCAGGACCGGTTCAGCTAATGGTCACTGGGTGTCGGGTTCGTAGTGTAGCGCGCTAACCGCTACACTACCGCTCCACACCACCACACAACTTCCCCTCAGCCTTTCAGCAATAATACAACTAAACACCAACAAACATCAGTTAGCGTTATATATTTAAAAAAAATACTTTATATGTTTATATTAGGAGAAGAAGACGAAGAAAATAACATTACTTATGCGAATTCAGCAATAATTTTTCATTACAGTTTATACAATGTTAAAATATAGCAGCAAAACGTTAATGCTTACATTTTATGAATTTTACATCTTATCAACGCCGGACTGAAAAGTAAACACACGTATTTGAACACGTGGTAGGAGGCTTTCGCGACCAATATTATACACAATTAAGGTTTTTGGGTTAGCGTAAATATAAATGTGTCGTTAAACCTGCCACCACCCGACACAGCCAATTAGTAAGGTTTGTCACGTAAACAGAACGTGCCAATTCGTTACTGGTATGGCAACACCGGTTATGTTGGAGAGTAAAACTCACAGCGTGTGAATTTAACGACACAATTATATTTACGAGATCTAACCCAAAAACCTCTATCATGGATAAACACGTCTAACAAGTTACAAACCATCCCACCGGATCTAAACCATTCGGTCGATGACAGCACGAGGTTTGTTGATGGAGAGGGATGCATCCACACACCATCACTGTGTCCTACATGTGAATACTTACAAGCCTGGACTAGAACACAGCTAGCTAACATAACTGGCGTTGACTAGCGAGCTAAATAAATTACGCACGCACGCTGTCACGGCGTAATATGCTGGTCTTCATACAGCAGCAGGGGATGATAGAACAATGGACGGTTGTGTTGTATAACGCGTGTTGCGGCAGTGAAGCAGTCAGCGCTATGAACCTGCCACCCGAGTTCGATTCCAGCTCACGGCCAACACCAGTGGCGATTAACTGAACCGGTCAAGTCCCCCCCCCCCCCCAAGTCGACTCGAATGAGTACCTGGTGCGGTGTGTGAATGAGAGAGCGAATGGATATTCTGACTCCACAATCCGCAAAGCCATCACCCCAACCATGAGGAAGGAGCCATCTGAGGATCAAACAAAAAAACATCACCTTGCCTTACATAGCAGTGATAACCAAAAAAAGTTCCAAAATCATGAACAAACACAAGATCCAGGTCCGATTTAACACAGTACATAAAATTCGTGATCTCATCCCATCTGTGAAGGATGTGATCCCTGACATGCAATATCCCGGTGTCTACAAACTAAGCTGTTACATTGGGGAAACTAAGTGACACGTCTCGGACCGTGTTCGTGAACATAAGGCAGATCTGAAACACGGTAGGACCAATACCTCGGCCGTGGCTGATCATTATTTTAATGCGGCTGGCTCACACGAAATTGATTTCTCTAAGACGATGGTACTTTGCAAGCCTACTGGCTATCAACAAAGATTCGTTCATGAAGCCATCTATCCAGAGCCTTTATTTGTCGCGTTCAGTTTTCAGTTTCATTTCTACAGACAGACAATTTCTACCGAGAGGAAGGTTATAGACTCAGCAATCATTGGAAATATGTCTTCTATCTACGTGACTTTACCGAAAGAACCAAATAATATGAATTCCTGCAGTCACGAAAGTCTTAAGTGCCTCCTACCTTATTACAGACCAATTCAGACCTTATTGGTCACCCCGTGCCTCTTATAAATCTCAACAAGGGAGAACACACAAACAGCACTTGCCCCAACAGTCTGTTCAGGCTATACAGGGGGATCTTTGTCTTTGTTACGATCCACCACCAATCCGCACGCCGCTTGGTGAGTAGTGATGACGGCGCCGGTAGCATAGACGTACGCTACAACAATGGATTTTTTGCTGCACTGCTATTCATGTACGGTGGTGGAAACTTTATAAAATAATATATGGCATTTGTGGGGTCAAATGCTGGCCAGTTGTAGGGTCACGAGACAGTTACGAAACCTGCACCACTGTACATGAGGACATTATTTGAATTGCTACCTTTCATATATATACGGTATACAAAGATAACCGTGGCAACGTGTATGGATTTCTGTCTTTTTTGGGCGCAAGCAAGCACACCGTGTTTCTCCTTTTGTTAGGATGGTTAGTAATGATATCTGTTACCCATTCAGCTGCAATCTCGTGATTTGGAGACCCCTCCTCAAACTTTTGACCAGACCGACTGGTTAAGCCGGGTTTTGAGTGAGCGAGGCACAAAGACAAAGATCCCCCGTACAGCCTGCAACAGACTGTTGGGGCAAGTGCTGTTAGCGAGCGCCTATCAAGGCCCGCACGGCACACGAGGGGGTGGGTGGCCAGCACCACCACGCCCGGCCGCCTTTGTCTCCCCAGTGGCGATGTTTACTACACACCCCACCAGGTACTCATTTGAGGCTGAGTCGACCTAGTGGAGGCCCAGGACCGGTTCAGATAATCGTCACAGGGTATTGGCCGTGAGCGGGAATCGAACTCGGGTAGCCGGGGTTCGTAGCGCAGCGCGCTAATCACTACACCACCGCTCCCCCCAACGGGGCAAAGACAAAGTTCCCCCGTATAGCCTGGGCACACTTGTTGGGGGCAAGTGCTGTTAGCGAGCACCTATCAAGGCGGGCACGGCACACGAGGGGGTGGGTGGCCAGCACCACGGTCGTGTTCACAGGGTGGGGGGGTGGTGGTGGGCTTGTCCCTAGCAAGCCCGTGGGGTTGGTGGTGATGATGATCGTCTTCTCCCTTGTTAATCACCGCGGATGGGTGGATGGGGAAGGAGAATTTATCTTTGGGCGTCGGTCATGATGATGATGGTGGTGGTGGCGGTGGGAAGGGAGTGACTTTCGCTAACAAGAGCCGAGGAGAGTTGGCGGATACCTGGGCAGTAGCAGCAGCAGCAGGCGTAGTAAGTAAGTCGTGGGTGTTTCATATTCTAAAATTGTGGTGAAAATACAACAACGCACAGCAATATGCTCGCAGTGATTAAGGATTGAACGGAACGTGACTCTTGTTGAACGGTGTTGTTTTGTTGAATGGTTTACTTTACGCTTTGAGTTGGGGGTCCTTCTCAAGGTCATTCGTTGTAAGTTACTGCACCTACGATTAGCATGGTTGGCTACGTACGGTGCGAATGAAGTTCAGCACACAGGTGCTAGGTATTTGCCGTGTAATCTCGTACTCTTTATATCCACTGTGTGTTTGATGTTACATATGTGTGTAACTCTTATTACGTTATTGCGGGGAGCGGTGGCGCAGTGGTTAGCGCACTACGCCACCCGACCTCCGTTTGATTCCCGCTCACGGCCAACACCGGTGACGATTATTCTGAACCGGTGCCGGGCCTCCCCTAGATCGACTCGACCTCAAATGAGTAGAGTAGATGGTGCGATGTGTAAAACGTCGCCACGGGGGAGACGAAGGCGTCCGTGTGTGGTGCAGGCCACCCAGCCTCTTGTCCAAGAGTCTGTTACAGGCTGTACGGTGGAGGAGGGGAAGCTTTGTCTTTGTACTCTATTGTTACATTATTGTGGGGAGCGGTGGCGGGGCGGTTAGCGCACTCCGCCACGAACCACCAACAGGGTGCGAGTATCCCAACCGGTCCTGGGCCGCCCCTAGGTCGACTCAGCCTTGAAAAAAGTATCCGATGCGGTGTGTAACTATGAGCGCTTGGCGGGATACAAAGGCGGCTGGACGTGGTTCTGGCCACAACCACCCCCACGTGTGCCGTGTCTTTAGCCCCCCACCCCCCCCCCCAACAGCCTGTTAAAAGCTATAAACAAGAGATGTTTACTGTGTGTACCCCGTGTCTGTGCAAAGTGCACGATAAGAGCGCCGTTATTATTGTTATATTAATAGTCTGAATATACTTTCCGTTGCTATTATACGGGGTGATCCGTTTATGAATTCCCCGCTGATCCATTTACAGATACTCCACTGTATTCAGAGCAGTTTCCTTGTACAGTTACCCCCAGCCAGGTAATTATATGGAACACAACCTTTTAGGGGGCATCCATTTAGTACGTACGCATGGAGGAGGGGGGTTAACCCAAATGCGTAGCTTGCGTATGGGGGGGGGGGGGGGTCTACTGACAATGTACGCATAGTAAACATGGGGTGGGGGGTGAAGCCTGGATAATAATTTGTCTACATTGGCCTTCAAATGAGCCACAGTTCAGCGTCTTCAGCTGTGAGACGACAAGTACTAGAAGTGGGAGTGTGGGAGAGGTGTCACTCGTGTGCCACCGTGCCCCCCCCCCGCCCCCCCCCCCCCCCTGACTGCAGCTATCACGCAGCTCAGCTAAATTTAGTGGCCAGGGTACGCGACTTAATTCTTTAATGCAGCCGGCGGTGGACTATCGTGTTTGCTTAAACACGTTAATATTTTTAATCCTTGATGGTTTCTGCGTGGATTAAATATCGGCCGTTCTATAGGATTCGGAGTGGGGGGGAGTGTGTAGAAAGTCCGCGTGCGTACAGAGAGATGGGGGGGTGGTAGTCAAGTTTTGACAGTTTTGCGTAGCTACTCAAAGGATGGCCCACTTAACTTTTAACACGCTTTCTATTAACTCACTGTTGTTGTATCCTCAAATCTTGTAACTCTATTTTAACCCACTTCCCAATGTGGTATCGACTGCAAACTTGGTATACTTATGTCATACTGATGACATTATTATATTATATTATTAAAAAAAATTTTACATTATTTTTTGTATATGTTATGTTTCGGCTTGGGTCTAATTGTCCACTGTAAACTGACGTTGGCTGTAATTGGCCATGGTCCCCTTACGTTGTGGCAAGCTTCGGGGCCACTTCCTGGAGTCGTGGAGTTCTTCCATTACTAGTACGGTACATTTCATGAAAGCGTGTTTAAAAAAAAAAAGTTTAAAAAAATATAATATTATTTACACTCGCCTCCGTAAGGTATGGGGTGGGATGTGAAACTGTGGCTTCCACGATAGTCAATCATCAGCTGTTGAGAAGACAAGGTGTGGTGGGGTTCGTTGGAAATCATTTGGGCATCTGTGAATGAATCGCCTTGTATAATGCCCCGTGCAATTGGTTATTGCAATTGTGCCTTTTTAGAAGACGCCACACTGCTGTAGAATTAAGTGGGAATTTTCACAGCTGTGTTGCGTTGTAACTGCATTGTTTTTAGAAGCTGCGTCCGCCAATTAAGTGTCTGCATTCAATTGCATCGCATCTTAACGACATTCTTTTTTCATTAACTACGTTTATGGTGTACGTTTAAATGAAGTTAATGAAACACATTAACATCGATTTTAAATATATGCGCGATTAATGATGACAGTTTTGGCCCCACACGTGTTAATTCTTATCGGGAAGTGGTTAACGCCAGTGGGGTGGTGGTGGTGTGTATTCTCGCTTTGCAACTCTTGGTGAAGTTCTAAGAGCATAAATCATGTCTGGTCGTGCATCTCCGCCTCAGTTCAGTGACGCTCAAGACATTCCATTCATTCGACGTTTTCCCCTTGCTTTTCAACGTAACCGGTTTTGTTGAAGAAGAAGAAGAAGAAAAGCAACCGACATCGAGTAGCACGTTTGCCCACGTGGACAACCTTGATTTGTTTTGGATTATTTGTCAGTTGGTGGAGGGTTCATAGCTCTAATTCAGAATCAGAATATTTATTTATACCGGAGGAATCCGATGAGCTAAGAAGCTCTTTTTCACAGATATCCAATTGAACATACGTTATTCTTTTTCCTACACTAACCCAAAATAAACCAGTTGTGAAGCGTAATGTTTCGTCGTGGAAGCCTACGTATGAAATTAGACGTGCATATCATGCGCGCTACCGTTCCTACATTTCAATAAAGTTACGCAACAAGAGTTGCAAGAGTAGTGTACGGTATAAAAGTGATTGCAATTACAACAACGATAGACTACCAACGTGTGGTTCGCTTGTCCATAATGAAGTTTATTAATATTCTTGGTTCTTTCGGTAAAGTCACGCAGAAGGGAAATAATGAAATATTAAAAAATAAAACAATAAAATTATCACGACGTTTCGATTGCAACACGAGCAATCATCATCAGGTGTGAAAACCACAGCAAGAAAATTTGAAAAAAGTGGCGTTTTTTTTCAAATTTATTATTTCCCTTCTGCGTGACTTTACCGAAAGAACCAAGAATATGAATCCCTGCAGTCACGAAATCTTTAAATCGAAAAATAGGTTTATTAAGTTATTCTGTAATTTCAACACGTAGGCTTTCGCGACCAATGTCATCCATGATAGAGGCTTTTTGAGTTAGTTACGCGATCTAACCCAAAACACCTCTATCATGGATTATTCCGTCATTCCTTGAGATTTGTTTTGGGACCATGCGATGTTGTATTGTCTGTGGTTTGGAGTTCGTAGCCATTCTTTTCGACCATAAACAACAGATTCAAGTTCCTTGAGAAGTTATAAAGTTATAAAATGAATGTCATAACTTGAAATAATGTGTTAGCTAGGATAGTGTATTTAAGGTGGAGGGAACGGGCTGGAATGCAAACGATATCATTTTGTCGAACACAATTGTAGCGAGATGTTAACTACCTCGCCTGGTATGCAGGAGGTTGTGGGTTCAATCCCTACCCTGACTCCTATATATTTGGAGTTTGCATGTTTTCTCCGTGATCGCGTGGATTTTTCTCCAGGTCTTCCGGTTTTTCGCTCCAACATTTAGAAACACAAGTTTAGAGTATTTGGCTGCAATACATTTCCACGTGATAACCCACTTTGTTGAGCTATCATTTGTGGCCAGGTTGCTTCTAAAAAAAGAGCTATATAGCTCAGTGGGCCTTACCAGGTAAAATACATAGTTTAGTTTAGTTTAGACGTTTTAGATGAATTACAGCGATTTATGGACTGTGATGCTAAGCAAAAGATTGAATCCACAAAAATGTGAAACAATTCGTAAAATAATAACAATAGAAACCAGGGAACACGAGCAGAAATTATTGCAGGTGTCAAGCGATGAATGAAGAAGCATGAGCGAGCTGGAGGGGGCACAGGAGTTTGCGAGCTGCGTTATGATCCTGGCTGCCGTGTCTGACATCAGTGGCCGAGAGTGATATCTGAACTGGTCCAGAGCACCCCTCTCTCCGCCAACGCACATTGACCGGCTTGGTAAAGTATGGTCAAAGAAACTGCCGTGATTAACATGGCATGGGGGGGGTGGAGGCCTCCGTGCAGCAGTTGGTTCACATAGGGCTGTGAATTATTTGAGGTTTATTCTGTAAGGAACTAGCTTTACTACCCGGCTTCGCCCGAGACTTGGATTCTTGTCTTGGATTAATACACGGCCTACGCGGAGGGTGGGGGGGGGATGCGTGACGTCAGCAGGCACACTGCGTGATTCTGCAGCATGCGGGTGACATCACAGGTGTGACGTGACCGCTCACTTGCCATGCAAAATCTATCCATTAATGCGCCCCCCCCCCCTCCCCCCAAAATACTGACGTATATTTTTATACTTTTTGCATTGTGTACAGTCTGGAAGCTACCCACATAGCAAATTTCAAGTTTTTTGCATGTCGGGAAGTATGCTAAACATTTCGAACAGACACACATTCACAAATTTCCCTTTTATATATAGAGACGAAGGGGTGGGTGACAGCACCACGCCCGGCCGCCTTTGTGTCCCCAGTGGCGATGTTCACACACCACAGCAGTTACTCGTTTGAGGCTGAGTCGACCTAGGGGAGGCCCAGGAGCGGTTGAAATAATCGTCACCGGTGGTGGCCGTGAGCGGGAATCGAACTCGGGGTCGCCGGGTTCGTAGCGCGGCGCGCTAACTGCTACACTACAATGCGTTACGCTTCCACATGCGCGGGTCAGGTGACAGATTTGACGTCACAGCTCACTTGTCGTGCGAAAAAATATGCATTATTGAGCACCCCCCCCCCCCAAAAAACCACAAGTGTATTTTAATAATTTTTGCATGGTGTACAGTCTGGAAAGTACCCACATGGAAAATTTCAAGTTTGTTGCATGTCGGGAAGTACACTAAACAGTTTGAACAGACACACATAATCACAACTTTGCCTTTTATATATATGGAGATAATTTCGGCCAGGGCTGCCCTGTGTCAGCGACTCTGAAAAATATGCTGACACCCGGCACACCACGTCCTGTGTGTCCCTTTCGCTATCGCCGTGGCTACCGGGGCTGTGCTGCCTACTTCACTCCGCACCAGCGACCCGGAAAATATTCAGTGACAGATTAAGCCCTGATTATTATTCACACAATTACACATGCAATGGAATTTGAACACGTGATTTTGTGCTTACGGGACAAGGTGTTTACTCAGTGGGCCATAGCTGCAGCTCCCCAAATGCTGCATAAACCCACGGTTCTTGTTATAACTCCAGTTACAGTAATGCTACTTTATCAGGCACTGGCTGTATTTCCACTGAATCTTATACCTGACATGTTTAAGTGGTGCTTTTCTGTTCAGTGAAATGTGTTGCTATTAAATGTGATGCGAGCAAAGCGACGTGTTTATTGATCGCTGAGCACAGTTGTCGATCGATTGACTTCATGGCCGAGCGGTAGCGCGTTGCAGATGTTTGTGGTACGAGCACCACGACCACCCCGGTTAATACTGTGGGTGTATGAACTGTAAATATTGTGCACTGTCTGCTTCACAGTCGGATGTTAAAGATCTCGGAGATGTAATTTGAATAAGTAGTATGCCACGTGTGTCGGCACAACTGTGTAAATGCGGAAACTCCTGTGGACTGTCCGTGAAGCGTAGCGCCTCCAGGATGTAGCCTCGTGTGTATGCTGAGCTTGTTCCGCACCGCACGTAGCCAACCGTGCTGATCGGAGGCGCCTCGCGCCGTACGAATGGAGCGAACGCCAACGTGCACTTGCTAAACCCAAAAGCTTTTTGTCGCTCTCGTTTTGTCCGTTGAAGACGATGCAAGCCGCGCCGCAGGACAATGGCCACGACCACGAGAAGCCGTGCCTCGGCGAGTCCCACGCGGTGAAGCTGGTGGAGCGCCTCTACGGGGTGAGCGTGGCGGGGGTGAGCCCGCTGGCGAGCTACATCGACCAGAACTACCGCGTGCTGGCGCGCGACGGTCGCCAGTTCGTGCTCAAGGTCACCAACACGCGGGACAGCCAGCGGCCGCAGCTGCTCGAGGTGCAGATGGCCATGATGAGGTTCCTGCAGGAGAGGGGCTTCCCCATGCAGGAGGTGGTGGACAACGTCAGCGGGAAGATCATGTCGCTCGAGAGCATCGGTGAGCTGCGCCTGCGGGGCTCCCGGGAGCAGAGACATTGGAGTAATAGATGTACAGTACGGTGCAATTGATTTTGCTGCAGCCGTACTCTGGCCCACACAACGTAGCACCACGCAGCGGCCTGTGATACCTGTTTAATGCACGATTGTCACCCGTAGAAGCCCTAATCCAGGCTCAACCTGCTTAGCTTTCAGATCTTATGATAGGGCACATTCCAGGTGATTTAGTCATAGGCTGATAATAATCATACGAATACAGCATTGGTTTATACTTGTAAAGACAACAATCAATATCAGAGCATGAGGCGGTGGTGTTATACTGGGTTGCACTCCACTGATTATAAGTGATGTAAAAGGATCATACTTTTTAGTTTTTTGTGAGGTTGGTGGATGTAACACACTGCTTGTTGGTACTGGCCCAAGGTCCACATTGTGATCTTTTGTAAATTCTTCATATATATAAAAAAACCACCAATGTTTGGTGTGTGGGATGAAACTGGAATGACTGCTCACGGCAAAGCCACACGGACGAGACGATAACATCTGTGGTGAGAGATCAGAAGCATACTTGCTGTTTTCTCATCCACTGACCTGCAGGTTGGTGGATGTTATGTTTGTACAGTTCACCGCCGCCGCCATTCGCCAACTGCACAGCGTGTTCCACCTCCCCCGCACCTACGATGAGCACGGTTGGCTACGTACGGTGCGAAAGAATTTCAACATACTTCCAAAACCTAAATCGTTAGTTTTGTTTCTGCTCGTCTACCCAGGAGACCCTGAGACGGTTTTTAATGGCACAGAGAAGCAAGCGTCAAACTCTTTGCGTCGAGTTCCGGATTGGCTGACAAGGGGAACACGTCAAAACCAAAAACCATGTATTACATTAACAAGCATAGACGGGAGAGAGATGTCACAAGCGATATGTTGTAGAGATATGAGAGAGATTTATTCATCATAAAGGTTTTTGGGTTAGATCGCGTTATTTATAAATGTGTCGTAACCCTCCACCACCCGACACGGCCAAACAGTAAAAAATGTGTCACGTTGACAAAAGACAAAATAGTTCACTACTTGTAGCCCACCGGTGTGTTGAAGAGTGACTCCACAACATTTACAGTTTGAGTACGACGTTTTGCTGGTAATTACATCCAGCATCATCGGGCAATTCGCCAGAATGGTGAAGCCCTCACTTGCTCCCGGTCTTAAATAGAGCAGCAGGGTGATGTCATCATGTAACTCATTCAGAGAGAGATTTAATCAGAAATGAGATATTTATTTGGAAGAAAGATCTATCAGCAAGAGGAGAGATTTAGAGAAATACAAACATGTCGATACAGAGCTTATCTCTCCCCCACACCCACTCCGACCTCCTGCATCGCATCACTTCTAATTAATATTATTGTAATCATCGCTACACGTTTCGATTTAAAGCTTTCGTGACTGCAGGGATTCATCTTCTGGGTTATTTCGGTAAAGTCACGTAGAATGGAGATAAAATAATAAAAATAATAATAACAGAATAAAATCCTAACGACGTTTCAGCCACAACACAAGGGTTCACTCAAGCGCTGTCTTCCGGACAGTCCTGTTTCTTCACCTGAGGAAGGCTACTTGTGTTGTGGCCGAAACGTCGTGAGCATTTTAATCGTTACACTTGTTTTCACAGCAGAGCCTCACTGAGTATCGGGAGGGTCTTGTCAAATTTTTCAGTTGGGAGGAGGGTGCGGGGGCGACGGTTGTCGTGTGTAGTTTCAATTGAGTATTGCTGACTGAGACATGTACTTAATTAGTTCTTGTAAGGCGTGGCGGGCCCACGGGCTGTAGTTGGGACAACACTAGGCTGCTAAACATATGTAAAACAAAGTGCTTCATAGCTCATCGGATTCCTCCAGTATAAGTACATATTCTGATTATAATGCCTGGGCTAGCAGCGCTCCTTTCAACCTAGGCTCGGGGTTCATCGCGTGAGCTGACATCGCCGCCCAACGCCGTGTTTGGAATGCGAAGATCACGGAATGCCGCTGACCCTTATATTTACGTGATGGAGCGAGCGATAAAAGTCGCCTCCTGATGCAGGTGGGGGCCCCCATTCACCTTGCTCCTAAGTAATTTGCTCAAGCTGAACCCAGGGAATTCAGCTAGACTCGTGTGCTGACGTGTCCATTCTGGCCCGAACCTGGGCGAATTGCCCCCGGTTCCGGCCAGCGTGCGCTAAGGCGTGAGGGTTGCGTGCCACGTCGCAACTTTGGCGGATGCCTTACCCATGGGTGTGGCGAGGTATTATTCCTCTCAACTGCTTTATTTAGCTACAGTGGTTTAAACAACAAGGCCATATAGGAATGCGAATTTCGGAATGCGTTTGTGTTATTAATTTTTTGCGTTAATAGTACCGTGAAAGAAAGTCATGATAAGAAAATCACTCCAATTTACTATTTTTGGGTGGGGGGAAAAACAGAAATACTCGATTCAAGTTGCTTGAGAGATTGGCGTTTTAAAGACTACACGAATTTTGTGTGCGTTATATATCGGACGTAGCACGTTCATTATTGTTATTAACCATTTAATACTGAGCAGCAAATTGTCGTTTAATTTCCTAAAAAAAGAATTGTAGCCTTGGCTATCAGTTGAGCAATACATAAGAGACCCTGTTTAGTATAGCACGTGGGTAATGAACACAGGGCGCAATGTGGTGAGTTGACACTATGTCCAGACCTTGCAGGTTCCGATATCAGCTTCCGAACAGCTTTTTATGTTCCAGCAAAAGGAAGCGACGGTAAGAATGCACTAACCGTGGTGACCTCTTGACCTCGGCGGCGACTCCTGCTGTGAATTCTCAGACTGCGGCGAAGGAGAGAAGGAGTTCAACGTGCGGCTGCTCACGTACCTGCCCGGCGTGCCGCTGTCCAGGGTGCTGGCGGATGGCAGCCTGTACTACCAGGTGGGCAAGCTGGCAGCGAGCATCCACCAAGCCCTGGAGCAGGTACGAGCGCACGAGCGCCTCTTGACACGTGGCATGAGAATATTCGCCAAAGTAAAAGGGGCAAAACAGAAATTGCTCGCAAATTACTTCATTGGGAAATGCGTAGCGATAGTTTCCCCAACCCGTTACTGCGACAATCTTAAAAAAAAAAAAAAGTCTTGAGTCTCGGCGAGCCTTTTCTCTCGGTAAGCAAGTGTAATGTGACGTAATGAGTCCACTCGCTCGGAACGTACGCAGCTGTTCATAATTAGCAACGTGAGAGTCCTTCCAAGAGATCGAATGGGCTGGTTTTCAAGCAACGTATTTTTGTTGTTTCCCCCCCCGATTTTATTCGAAGCGTCGGGGTGGAGCAGTGGCGCAGTTGTGCGCACACTACGCTACGAACCCGGCCACCTGAGTTTGATTTCCGGCCACGGCTAACATTTGTGGCAAGTGATATCTGAACCAGTCCTGCCCCCCCCCCCCCCCCCTTGTCCTCTATCCTTCACCAACCTACACTGACCAGTTTGGCGAAGTATGGTCAAACACCCTACATGACCAACACTGAATACGCAAGTGCCTTGATAAGGGCTGTATGAGTTGTGCTAATTGGTGCCATGTCATGAGATGGAACATAAAATCTCATTCTGTGCATCACCTCTGGTTAGAGACTGGCCCGTAGAAGGTGATCTCACAAAACTACTTTTCAGATCCATTCAAGTGTCCTGTTATTCACAAATACCAATCATACATTTGCCAGCCGCACGCAGGACTTGGGCAGCCCCACTCTCAGCCGTATCATAAGTCAAGGATGAGACCAGAACATTGTCAACTTGGACACAATTCTGATGTTTATCAAACGCGACGGGACACCGGAACAGCCTCTCTGAAACGCAGACTATAGTTTGCTAGCTTGACGTTTTGCTGCCTTTAACTTACATGTGTACTCAACTGGCCAATGCGATGTTAATCTCGTATTGCATTTTTTTTTCATCTTACCGCCTTCAATTTAAACGTCTGCGTAGTTTGAGCACCCGTTCCTGCACTCCCTGCAACGAGACGATTTCATCTGGAACCTGTCAAACACCCACCTGCTCGAGTCCTACCTCTTCGCTCTGGACGGCGACCCCAACCAGGGTCTGGTCAGGGAGGTCATCGCCAAGTTCCGCGAGGAGATCCAACCCAACCTGCACAAGTTTACCAGATGTACGCTCGCCTCGCAGCTTCACCCGGGACGTAGCTCCATGCCTCCAGGGGGCGAGGGGCGGTTCAGGCCACCGACGAGGCCTTGAAGCCACGACGGGTGCCACGTACGTGTGTACGTTGAACTTCTTTCGCACCGTACATAGCCAACCATGCTAATTGGAGGTGCGGGGGAAGGACAACAAACTAAACACAAAAATCAGTTCTAAAGAAATTAGTGTTCAATCTAGGTTTAAAAGTGCATAGCTCCAGTGCCTTCCTAATATCGGAAAGAAGAGCTTTCCAGACGGCTGCAGAAGTGCATCTGAAAGCGCGCGATGCGGTGACCGTCTTTGTTCGTTCGATGGTGAACCAAAAGCCGCTGCGAGGATGACCCGAGTTCGTGTGATGGTTTATGCTGCTTGACGAGATCAACAAGGTATTGTGATTCATTTGTGGCAAGCATTTTCTCTGCAATGTGCTTTACGTGATTACTTTTACCCAGTATACACAGATGCATTACAAGGCATGCATGTAATGGGGAACACTCGCACACACACTGAGCATAGGTGAAATCAAATGACAGGGTTATTACATTCAGACGCCACTGTATATAAATCATAATTGTAATTTCTATCAAATCATTTTTCAATGGATGCTAAATTGTGTTCAACAGTTTTTGTTAAAGCTGGGCCTGGCTTCACACATATACTTATAATAATAATGTACAGCCCTTTGTCAATGCACTGTCTGGACGAAGGCATTCCCAGGCTGTGTAGGGTCATGGGGGTTGTTTTGCCACCTTCACCATGCTGGCCGGTGAGGAGGTAGGTAGGATCCCAGGACTGGTTCAGATATCAGTGATGATCTCCATGGCCGGGAATCAAGGGCTCGTGATGCAGTGTGCAAACCACTACACACCGCTCCATATCTCGCCCCCCCGTACAGGGTTGTACGACACTGGTGGATTATTGTAATTCAGCGCCTTTGGAGGCAGGAGGAGTGGGTGAATCACTGAGACTCTGCGGGGCTTTTCTCTGGCTCGCACACGCGGGAGAGGGGAGGGGTTGGAATGCGCGGCCCTACGCGTACGACGCTGGTGGATTATTGTAATTCTGTGCCTTTGAAGGCAGGAGAAGTCGGCGATTCACTGAGACTCAGCGGGGCCGTTATAAGACTCGCACACGCGGCATGGGCAACACCAATCGCGCGCCTGGAATAAAACCGGCACGGGCACGAACGATGACGACGACGACGACGACGACGACGACAAAGGGAAGACGGTCAACAATAAAAGACAACGGGGGAAATCAAATTCGACGACGAGAGCCGTAACGCGTTTGCGCACGCGCGTGCCGTTCCCCCTCGCCGCAGGCATAATCCACGGTGACTTCAATGACGACAACATCCTGGTGCAGGAGGTGGCCGCGGGAAGCGAGCAGCAGCAGGGGCAGCAGCAGCAGGGGCAGCAGCAGGGGCCCAAGTCGGCGGAGGGAGCGCCGCGGCACCGCGTCTCCGGCATTGTGGACCTCAACTCGATGATGTTCGGCTACCACGTGTACGACCTGGCCATGGCCATCATGTACATGATGGTGGAGAGCGGAGAGGCGATGGAGGCCGGGGGTCACGTCCTGGCCGGCTACGAGAGCGTGCAGCCCCTCACCGAGGACGAGAGGAGGGCCGTTTACTTCCTGGTGGCGTGCAGGTGAGAGCGGAGGGTGGGGGAGGGGGGCCGGGCCGGTCCGGGGTGGGGCAGGTCGGGGCAGGTCGGGGCAGGTCGGGGCAGGTCGGGTCTGGCCGGCTCGACGTTGGCCGCATCGGGAACCGTTGGCTTCAAAAACCTGTGGCGGTTGCGTAACAAGAATTAATCCAGGTCTGGCGAGAATCCGATAAACTCGATGATCGTGCGGCAAAAAAAAACACGTGCTTTATTATTTATTTAAAGCTCTTCATCAGGCCAATGATGGATGAAGGTCTTGCCATGCCATGTCGATCGTCGCGGTGGTTGAACATACTTCACCATGCTGGTTAATGTGTATCGGTGAACGGGGGGATCGGTAACAGTTTAGACATAATAATGCTGATTACCATGATGTTGCTAACAGCACTTCTGCGGATACTTCTGATGACGATGATGATGATTATAAAAAAGACACTTATAGCGATGTTGTTTACGATCATGTTGCTGATCCCGCTGATGCTGCTGCTGGAGACGAGGAAGATGAAGACGGCGACTTTCCTTCCGCTGGCACTTCTGCTGCTGACCACGAGACTTGATCCAACTATGGCTGCGATTCCTGGACGCTAAAATCCCAGCCGATAAACAAGTCGGCAGAAAAAAACCCTCTTGAATAACGAACGACATTAACCGTCACGACAGCAACGGCAACAACAACAACATGGTCTACTTTTACCCGCAGGTTCTGCCAGTCGCTGGTCATGGCCCGCTATACGATCCTGCGGTACCCGCAGAACGCCGACTACCTGCTGATAACGGCGCGCACCGGCTGGGTGAAGCTACGCGAGCTCTGGACCAGGGGCCTGGAGGACATGCAGAGGCTGTGGTCCGATGTTGCGGCACGGTACAGAAACTAGAACCGCAGTGGGGATCGAGCGGACGGCGAGGAGAGAGAAGGGGGAGTTTGTGGGGGGGGGGGGGGGGGGACCCACCATGAGACACGTCCTCCCACTCGCCCCGCCGGTACCTCCCGAGGCTTCGCAAGGAACCGGTTTCAACTTGAACGTGGCGCCGTTGGTTTTGGACAGGTGCGATCTTTAAATACGGAATCTGAAAAATGTGAATTGCTCATGCCAGGCACTTAATGCATAGGGGGGAGGTTTTTCGTGGCTTCAGGTTGAGGAGGCCACAAGCGCCACCTCGGGTTTTCCCAGTCTCGGGCGATGGCGCGCACGTCCGGTGGATTCGTTGAGTAACTGGAATGCGACGGCATTGGCTTCATCGGCAATACGATCCAAGTGCATTGAGAGACCGTCTAAATCCGCATCGCTGGGAATCGCCCAAAACAGGAAAGTATTTATTCATTTTCTTCTTTGAAACATTTCGGAGATGGGAGACGATCGTAGACGAGAAGGACGAGGAAAGTTTTGGGCCCGGACTTGAACAGGGGGCAGTAAGATGGGAGATCTTAGTTGCTGGTGTGCAGATAATATTGAAGGCGATTAGAGGAGGGGTGGGGAGTGGTAGGAGCGTTGAGAGCCCATGGAAGATCTTGAAGACATTGAAGGCGTCTTCAAGATCCTCCATCTTGCAGTTGAGTCGGAATTAGGTTGAGAGCAGAGTGGAGGGATCGGAGTACCGGGTTGATGCGTTCTCATTGATGGGTGCAAGTTAGAAGGTTGGACGATCACTTGCACTTAGGAAGGTGGGAGATTTGTGGAGTCCACAGAGAGGGGGTCCCTCCATGATTTATCAAGGAGCATGATGAAGGCACGAATAAGATTCGGAGCAGCAGTTACATCGGCGCTTTCTCCACCGGACAGGGGCACATATCTTTCCGGGATAAACTGGTCCATAATTGGTCCCTAGCAAAGGAGCTTCATCATCATCATCAGACTTTTTTTTCACGTTCCAGTTCTCAATGAATCCACCTGTACGCACCAAGTGAGGGGTGGGGGCAGCACAGGGCCGTCACAGACAAAATCCATTGTCGTATTGTGCTTCTATGCTCCCGTGTCCACTCTTGGCCGCCTTTAACCCGCACTGACCGGCACGGTGAATTGTGGTCACGTTACCCCAACGGAGCGGCACGATGTGTGGTGGGGTCGTCCTCATGCAGCTGTGGATTGACACGAGGCCTGTACGCGTGCCTCTCAATCTCACGTCACCAGAGGTTGAACAAACCTGAAGTGGAAGCTGTTGTTTCCTCAACCTGGAGGCACTGGTCACCCACTGCCTTGTTGCATATGTACATACACGGATTTATACATATTTCCATACACATGTACATTTGCTTTTCATAGGTTACGTGTGTATGCATGTATGTATACATGCATTTGTACATTCATACCTACACACATGCATTCATATGTACAGATATAAATATATAAGTCCACTAATAATTTACATAGGAACATGTTGGCAGATCTATACATTTGTAAATACATTTACAAACATATACCTATGTATGTGTATGCAACACATGCATGGATATATGTTTGTATAGGGCGTACATTGACACGTATACATATTTCCATACACATACATTTTTTCCCATTGGTCATGTGTGTATGCATGTATGTATACATGCATGTATGGATGTGTACATTCATACCTACACACATGCATTCATATGTACAGATATATACATGTAAGTCCACTAATAATAAACGTAGGAACATGTTTGCAGATATATACATCTGTAAATACACGTACAAACATATACCCATGGATGTGTACGCAACACATGCATGGGTGTATGTTTTTATGGGGCGTACATTGACATTCCTTACTTAGGCCCATATAATTATATTCGTATGTATAGCACATTATCCTGTACAGGGTGTTGTCCTTGAATGTACCCATAATTAAATAATCGTAATTATACATCTAATTGAACTGTGCGGTTCAAGTTTCAAGTTTGCTATGCTCATGCAGGTGAGAACCCAAGAGACCAGGATGGTCTCATGTGAAGACTGACCTGGGACGTTCGGATGGGCAGTAGGGAGAGTGATGAACACCATGTATCCAATCGAGATGATTTGCGGTGAAATTGTCGCCAAACGTGGACTCTGACGCCAGCGCACAATGGTCCCACTCTTGCGAACTACGCCAAGGGATCTTTAACGTGTCCCCCTGGCTGAAATATTGGCAGCAAAAATTCCTTGCCGTGCTTGCATTTGACGATTGCGAAAACCTCGCGCGAATCCGTGTCGGCAGCACGCGCAAAGGCGCGCACCGAGTGCACAAAAATGTCTCCGCCTTGGTCATTGTGCAAAATCACCAATTCCTAAATAGCTGCATCCGTTGGTCATCCATCTTTCTAGAGTGGTCGCCGATAGCCACACACGAGAAAAGCACGTGAAACGATTGCAGGTGGGATGTTGGCAAACACCTGGGACTTTTAAATCTCGATATGATGCGTGTCAACGCGATGGTAGACATGTGGCGGTTGAGAGGAGGGCATGAGACACAGATGATGAAATCTTCACATTACCAAGTGTGTATGGGTTAGGTGATTTCATAAACATAGCTAGGACTGCAGTCTACTGTAATCCATTTTCTTCAGTGATGGGTGGACACCCCTGTAACAGGTACATACATTCACAATCTTATACAGTAAACGTGTACATTGAGACATTAAATGCATGCTTTAGAATTATGATGTATATGTATTACTATTGGGATGTTCCAGATTTTTAGATGAATCTGAAAAATCTTGCAATCCAGGCTGAGACGTAAAATTTGGGACAATAAATATTCTTTATATTGATCTGAAAAAGTGATGTCAGAAACAGGTGGCATCACCTTCACGCCAAGAGTGGTGTCACGTGACAGGAGGTAATTGCCACGTGACATCACTTGTTAAAACCCCAAAAACGCATAAAAATTAGGACATCGTGTAAGTGGTCAAAAATCCATAAGAAGATTCATAATTGTTACAAATGCAAACAAGTATTTTTTTTTTAAATCAGAAAATCACCCATAGTATTTTACATGCATAAGCGTATCTGTACACACAAGTATGGGTGTGCATACACAAACACTAGGCGTGTAGCGATGCATAGACTGTAAACAAACGATTCCTACACCCACAAACGTTCGCATCTAATCGTGCATTTGGGAATTTGTTATTTACAAGTGATGCAAACGACGTCCGAGCGACACGGTACGCATTGCAGTCGGGCCAAGTTGAGTGAACGAAAACCGTAGAGACGAGAGCGAAAAAAAGTGTGAAACAATACAAATGCGAGTTTAATCACCGATGGTGACCAATTGCAGGACCGGTGTTTTTACCGGTCGTGTAACGACGCAGCGGATCAGAATCCTCGATCGACGGCGATTCCGTATGTTCGCAACACGTACGGCAAATAGTGAACGTTAGCATCGCCCAGTAAACCGCTTGGCCAACGTTGGCCGAACGTTCACCCTTGAGCTGGCCCAGAAGTTCCACTTTTACTGGGAAACCACTTGCATTCCATCCGTGCAATCCACCTAATTGATCCGGTCACCTAATCCCCGCAGGCACTCGAGGTGCCGCGTTCACCACATTTGGTAATTAAAACCAAATTGTTTAATCTTGAATCTATCGCAGCGCACGAGTCATGACGATACGTCGAACTGCTGGGTGGTGGGGGTAGTCTTATTCGTACTTGCCTAGTATTTACCTACATGCATAACCTGCGCACAGGATAGTACTGGCATAACGCGTGTAGCCAGTTTTACACCTTCAAAAGTGCCTTTATTTTTTAACAAAACAGGAGAGACGTGAGCGGCCCAGCTGCGGAGAGCTATCCTCTGGAAACGATGCTTGCGTTCCTCTGCACGGCTACCTCCTGGTGCGACAACCTGTGGTTAATCCCAACATTGCTCCCTGCCGTAGCTGCTCGTGCGTTAGGAACGTAATTTTTGCTGCATCCAGCGCTGTTGACAAAACGGCGTTCACGTGTAGTTCACGCAGATTCTCAGTGCAGCGTGCAACGTGTGCCTATCTTTGAACTATTGTGTCGCGTTGTTTTAGTTCCCCCCCCCCCTCCCCGAATATATTTCACGTTAAGTGTATTTGTTTTGGTGCAGGTGAGAAGCAAAATAAAAATTGGCGCAAAAACAACTTTCGCCACGTAAAATATAAAAATCGAAAAAATAACAAAAATATAAATGAATGTTAAAGAATATATTCCCTATGTCGCTTGTCGATGTGTTTTCCAATTATGCTGTCAATGTCGCGCCTTTATGCAAAGTATCCGTTTGAAATTCCTGCGAAGCAGTGCACCACCCTGTGTGCCACGCACTTACAAAAAGAAATCCTCCGAAAATTCAGTTATTGAAAAACGCGACATGTTTTGAATGCCAACCCCCTTCAAAGCACCGTCTATATGTACACACGCAAACCTGAACAGGCTTAGGCTGAAATAAAGCAACAATGCGGATGCCGAATTTTTTAAATTCTGATGTCATGTTTGGATTTGACATCCTTAAACGCTTCCAGACAATACTTTCGCAGGACCCAAGCTTGCAAACGACAAACACACACAAGTTTTAGCCCACGGAATTTTTAAGAGGGCAAATCGCAGTTTTCGGATTTTTAAATCTGATGTCATGTTTGGAATGTGTCACCCTTCAGCATCTCCAGATGCAAACTTGATTAGGTCTGAGTTTGTGAAAAAATAAGACACCCAAGTCTAAAATGTTTTGGTCCTACATTTGAGGGGCCTGTCATTAAAATGGCGGTTTTTCAATTTTTCCAAGTCGTAAATGTCGAGACTTCGCTCTCGTTCTTTCAATTTTAAGCTCTCCAAACGCTTTAGAACATCATTGTAATTGACATCGCTTGCTCGGTGAACTTCCTCGCCACTGTAATTAGATTGGGGAGGCATGAATGGTTATGTTAAGTCGCTTATTATTATTACTGGAATCTTTAGATGTTAATAATCATGATTTAGTTGCGGTTGATGATCAAATGTGACGGTGCTGTCGTAGG